TTTGGTCTTGTTACCTTATGTGTATTATTTGAAAGGAAATAAATATTCACTAAATATTCTTTCTTTAAAAAAATCATGGAATGCTAGTCATGTGCACATTTCAGTACTGTTGACTCCCACCAATCTCAATCAACCATTTATAAATGATCAAGACACTTGCTTCTTTTTAGAAATCTGTAAAGAGGTATTTTTAGCCAAAATGTATATATAGTAGAACCTCCCTGTAAAGGACAAACACCTAATTGCAAAGCCAAAGTGTCCTTTAACGAGAAGTATGCTAAATACCGGAGAGTTGCTAAATAGTAAAAATGATAATTTGCAAATGAAAACTGTCCTTTATAAAGTGTCTTCTAGCGGGGTATCCACTAAAGGGAGAGGTTATACTGTATACTGAAATATTAAAATAACAATTATATTCTCACAATAAGTATATTTTTTATTTAAAAACTGCTAGCTTTCAAGCGTTAATCATCCTTCAACGGGCTTACAATAATATCGACTTGATCCCACCAGTTATAAATATCCAGTTTCAGTTATAAATATCCATGCTGCGCGTGTTTGTTTTTTGTAAATATTTCTGGTGGGATAAAGTCGATATTATAGTAAGCCCGTTGAAGAGCGATTAACGCTTGAAAGCGTTTTTTAAATAAAAAATATACTTATTGTGAGAATATATTTGTAATTTTAATACTTTTTCACAATTTTATCATGAATACTGAAATATGCAAATATGTGAGGAAAAGTTGCTCGGAGCAGGGTGAAGTGGCATCCGATGATGCCCAACCTTCACATCAGAGATTGCAGTGCTATTTGATGATACTGAAATTTTTTTGAGGAGGTCAAAATTATCCCTTCCATATAGTGACATCAGAATAACTTCTTTGGTTGATGATAAAGCACAATTTGGATTATAGATTATAGCTACAAGAAAATAAGACCTAATCCAAATAAATTGTAGTGCGTGATGTTTCGGTAACAGTGTTGTTACCATCATAATCGATTCAGTACTTTTGTCTAATGAAGATGGTAACAATGCTGTTACCGAAACCTCACACACTATTAAATTATTTGGATTTGGTTTTATTACCTTATTTCTTTAGTTGATGATTAGAACATCATCTATTGACCATGGATTAGAGTAAGGTGCTAGGATTGCTAAACTACCAGCCTGGTCTCAAACCAGCTGTTTTCTTTCCTTCATTTTGATGACATTTTTTTATTAGATACAATTTTTGGATTATACACACAAGGTAATAAGACCAAATCCAAATAAATTAATAGTGTGTGACGTTGCGGTAATAAGCGTTGTTACCATCATAATTGATTCAGTACTTTTGTCAACTCCGCCCTTGCTGGTCCCAAGCCCGGATGAAAAAGGAGGAGGGGGAGCAGTAACAAGCTTGCTAAAAAACCTGGGTTCAGCTGGCCCGGCTGATAGTACCCTGTAAGGACTCCTAATCCAGGGATACAGGATGAGCAGCGCTTTGTACTCCATGTTAGGAGCGGCTGCACATGGCGTCTGTTCCTCAATATCAGAGGTGGCCATTTCTTTTGGAGCTAAGTCGGCCTGCCACTGAGTAGTGCTCCCAATCTTAATGACAAAGGCAGACGCATTCTACTTCACCCAGTATGGAGATAAGAAAGAAGAAGAGTACTTTTGTCTGATGATGATGGTAACAATGCTGTTGCCGAAATGTCACACAACTATTTATTTGGATTTGGTCTTATTACCTTGTGTTTATAATCTATAATCCAAATTGTACCTTATCATTACCTTGTGTTTATTCTGATCTAATATTTATTTCTGCTTTGAATTGTTGCACCTTCATGTACTTTTAATATTGTCTCAACCAGATTGATCTCTAGCTGTATTGTAGACAACATCAGAGCAGGTAAGTCCTAAAGTAATTTATATTTTTACAAGGTGTCACTATTTTCAACTTTGATTGATAAGGTACAATTGGGATAAACTTATACTTACAAGGTAATAAGACCAAATCCAAATAAATAAATAGCGTGTGATGTTTCAGTAACAGCATTGTTACCATCTTCAGACAAAAGTATGATTCAGTGCTTTTATCTGAAGATGGTAACAATGCTGTTACCGAAATTGTCACACTATTTATTTGGTCTTATTACCTTGTGTTTATAATCTATAATCCAAATTGTGCCTTATCATAAACTTATACTTGTTCTCATATGTTCCTCGAAGTTAAGCAATGTTTGGGCCCGGTCAGTAGTTGGGAGGGTGACCACTTGAGAACACCGGGTGCTGTAAGCTTATTCCGTAAGATGGTAAAAACTCTGTTACCGAAAACAACAAACATTTCAATAATTTGTAAACACAAGGTAATAAGACCAAATCCAAATAAATAGTGTGTGACCTTTCGGTAACAGCGTTGTTACCATCTTCAGACAAAAGTACTGTCTACTACTACTACAATCATTCAGTACTTTGTCTGAAGATGGTAACAATGCTGTTACCGAAATGTCACACACTATTTATTTATTTGGATTTGGTCTTATAACCTTGTGTTTATAATCTATAATCCAAATTGTGCCTTATCAATTTCAATAATTTGGTATTGTTACTTTTTTGTTTCCAATCTTCCTTGTTGTACAAATGTCAAGGTAAGACTGAGCAATCTGCTATTTACAGTAGAAGTGTTGATATCAGTGGTGTCATGGATTCATGATATCATCTACAGAAAGTAGGGGGAACTCCGCCTTTGCCGGTCCCAAGCCCGGATGAAAAAGGAGGAGGGGGGAGCAGTAACAAGCTCACTAAAAAACCTAGGTTCAGCTGGCCTGGCTGATAGTACCCTGTAAGGGCTCCTAATCCAGGGATACAGGATGAGCAGCGTTTGTACTCCATGTTAGGAGCAGCTGCACATGGCGTCTGTTCCTCATGTCAGAGGCGGCCATTTCTTTTGGAACTAAGTCGGCCTGCCACTGAGTAGTGCTCCCAGTCTTAATGACAAAGGCAGACGTATTCTACTTCACACAGTCATGATGGTTGTCAAAGCAGACACCATCAAGGGTCACAACTTGATATCCTAATGTGATTGAGTGGAGATAAGAAAGAAGAAGAGGAAGTAGGGCTCCTTACCGATTACTCTATTCAAAATTGATAGGCACAATTTGGATTATTCTATATGCAGTTACGAGCGTCATCAATTCTTAATCTCTTAATCATTCACCTCTGTCACCGTTTTGCTTTTTTTTTTGGAATGGCGCCCTCCTATTGGTTGGCCACGATCACGCCACCTTTGCCCCAAATCATGCCCCCCCCCCCCCCCCACTCGCTATTTTCGTCTTTGTAACTATTGTGTTGGAGCGGGTCGCTCCCTAAATAAATGCATATATTAGATAATAACCAAATGGAATCCTCTCTTTTCTTTTCCCAGTAAGAGATGCCTACGGAAGCCAACAGTACATAGACAGATAAAGCACATAGGCTATAGTTATTAACTAACATATGCAATTATTTAAGGCGCCAATTTATAGTTGTAACAAATAGTATTTGAAACAAAAGATTCAATCGGGTAAAACACGGGCGTTGCCCGGGTCATTCGGCTAGTAGATTATAAACACGAGGTAATAAGACCAAATCCAAATAAATAAATAGTGTGTGACGTTTCGGTAACAGCATTGTTACCATCTTCAGACAAAAGTATTGAATGAGAAATTTTACCACAGCATGTGGTATTACCACAGCATACCTCAGATGCTGTGGTAAAATTTCTCATTAAGTACTTTTGTCTGAAGATGGTAACAATGCTGTTACCGAAACGTCACACACTATTTATTTATTTGGATTTGGTCTTATAACCTTGTGTCTATTCAAAATTATTTTCATTATTTTTTTAAATAAGAATAATTTACAAGGTAATATAAGACCAAATAAATAGTCAATTCAATGTCAATTTAAAATGGACTAGTGCAATGTGCTTTTACTGATGTCCTCCTCTTCTTCTTTCTTATCTCCACTCAATCATATTAGGGTGTCAAGCTTGTGAAGCTTGAGACTTTTGATGGTGTCTGCCGGGGAAGAGTAGAGCTCATCAATGGATAAGTCAATACAGTCAATAATGTGTTTTGGGGGTTGCAGGTTGAGAATTGCGTGTGCAATGTCATGTCCTGTTTTGATTGCTGAGTTGAACCTAGTTGACCAGGAAGTTCTATGCTGAGGTCCAGTCTGGAAGGCTGGCCATAGATGTAGGATTGAGTTGGGTCAATCCAAGCAGGATAGCTGTTTGTATCCTATGTCTCAGGAATGCTGGACAGCTGAAGAGAAGATGATCAACTGTCTGTGGCTCTTCTGAACAGTGAGGACAGGTAGGGTCTGTTTCAGGATGCACACGTGCAATGTCAGCCGAGAGATATGTAACAACAATTCCCCCCCACGTAAACCATTCATTGAGACATATATAAACAAACAATTTACAAAGAAAGATATTTATAACCCAGGTTTCTGGAACAAGAGAGAGAGAGAGAGAATATTGTTTTACGGGCTACTAACCAAACATAACAGTCGGTGGATGAGAGGGTAACACGCTCGATTCCCGACAGTCATGAACCGGGATTGAATCCCGCGTTAAAAATTGTTTAATATGTGAATAACCTTCACATATTATTCATTGTTTCAATTATCATGAACTAGGTTGCTCTTGGTGAGCGGTACCTATTAATGTGATTTGAACCAGGCTAACCAAAGTTTGTTTTTCATGCCCAGAATCCTGGAGCAAAACAAGCAATTTACGAATAAAACGCCGAGTCACGTGACTGATGATGATCACCGAGTAGGCACCACAGATTATTCTGTGACAGAAAGATATTGAGTAGAGAATAGTTGAGAAGTCATATGGTTGATGAAGGACACATCAGGAAGCACAGGAGTTACAAGTGCAGACTTCACAGCTGTATAGAGTGAGAGGGGAATCAAAGCCATATGGACGTTGTTGTCTCCTCACTCACAGCTGCCGGATGAAAAAAGGAGGAGGGGGAGCAGTAACAAGCTCACTAAAAAACCTGGGTTCAGCTGGCCCGGCTGATAGTACCCTGTAAGGGCTCCTAATCCTGGAATACAGGATAAGCAGCGTTGTACTCCATGTTAGGAGCGGCTGCACATGGCGTCTGTTCCTCATGTCAGAGGCGGCCATTTCTTTTGGAGCTAAGTCGGCCTGCCACTGAGTAGTGCTCCCAGTCGTAATGACAAAGGCAGACTCATTCTACTTCACTCAGTCATGATGGTTGTCAAGTCTCAAGCTCTACAAGCTTGATACCCTAATATGATTGAGTGGAGATAAGAAAGAAGAAGAAGAAGAAGACAGCTGCCGGTGATGTGAAGGCAACATATGGTCAAAAACTGTCTCTCAGAGGACGGTGTGTTGGATACTTTCATACATTTCTCAATGCATCCATCTATAGATGCAAACTAATCGTTAAATCTCTCTAAATTATCAATTAATATAATACACCTATATCCCCCGATTTACACGGTACTTGTTTTACACGTTTTCGATTTTACACGGTTTTCCAAATAAGTTTTTTTTTGTTTTGTTTTTATCGCACTATACTAAATGCTACTGTGATTGAACACATGCGCTGTGTACACATCTCACGAGGAATCCCGAGCTTATGTGCTGACTTGCTGCACACGCACACTGTGTTTGTATTTCTTCGCATAAAAATTTTGCGAAAATTTTTAATTTTCGATTTACACGTTTTTCTCAGGAACGTATCTACCGTGTAAATCGGGGGATAGGTGTATATAAAATACACTCATGGACAAAAATAAGGAAGTTGTACCTTATAGCATGTATATCGGGATTTAGACAATAACTCTGAAAGATACCTGATACACACTGACCTTTAGTGAAGTCACACGAGATAAACAAGTGTAAATAAAATTGCCTCTGTCTCCTTCAAAAAAAAAAATAAAGTAGATGACAGGTGGCATCAAAGACTTTCTATCTCCTTAAGTTATGTCCATGAGTGTATTTCAATATCTAAATTCTCTTTGAATTATCATTTTTACACAATAATATTCGAAATAGGATGTGAAGAAATATCGGGTAATCGTTTCACAAAACACTGATGCGAAATTCGGTAGAAGAATTCGCAGTGATGATTCTTTTGTGGGCTGTTGCAAGGATTTAAATCAGATCACTAAATAGCAGAAAGGAGAGGGTTAAAAGTCTCCTTCAAACTAACTTTATTCAAAACATCTTAAGAGGACAGAGGAAAACACCCAACTGGTGTGGTGGCAGACTAGGCCGGATACTGCGCTACCTCTTTTATCTTCCGGCTAGCGCAGCTGGGGCTTGTTTGTTTACAGTCACCCGAGCCGTCACTGTCCGACGCCCTGAAGTGGACTCCATTATTCCACAAGGAAATTGTTTTTATTACACTGATTTAATTATTCAAAAACTATTCAGAAATAACCTTGGCCAAGGATATCTTCAAGCCGTCATGGCCAGAATAAACAAGTCCCAACCAGTCCACATTGTTAAGAGGAAGAACAAACCGTGGAGCATGTCCCAGCATTCCAACTACAGTGATTACAGACGGCTACACTTCTTGGACTGTCCTCTGTCAACAGCACTGCCATGTTAAATATACAAAGAAACAAACAGACCAGGAAACATTTAAAAACTGGTTTACTAAGGCATGAAAGATTAATTCATAAAACGTACTCAGCTCCGGTAAGTTGGCGATCTATGGATACGTGCCGGGAGCATGGGTTACCTATATACTCAGAGACAATACCTAAAGAATTTGTACCTTTTAGCATGTATATCGGGATTCAGACCATAACTCTTAAATATATTTGACACACTATGACCTTTATTGAAGACACACGAGATGACCAAGTGTGAACAAAATTGCCTCTATCTCTTTCGAAAAAAAAAAAGATGACCTTCAATAACAAAGACTTTCCACTTCCTTAAGTTTTGTCCATGAGTGTATATATATATTATGTATCAGTACAATGGTACTGTTTATCACCCTAGTAAACAACTTACTAGTGATAAATAATGAGCCACAACCCCAGTTTTGACAAATTCAGACAAAAGCCAACAACCTGTATAACATGGTTTCGGGCTATGACCCTCATCAGTACAGGGACGGCTTCGATTTCATAACATCCTACGAGAAGAGTTTTGAAATCGGTCGAATTTACCAAACAGTTGTTTAAGCTGATGGAGTAGCCAGGACCGATTTTCCAGGCTAGAATACAACATGAAGTTGCGGAGGATGATATTGATGTACTCTGGT